GGTTCATCCTGGAGAGGGTCAAACTGGGCTGCTCCTTGGAGGCAAGGATTCTGAAGCTTCGTCTGACATACTTTGATCATGTTGTAAGGAGAGACCAGTCCTTGGAGAGGGGACATCATGCTTGGTAGGATGGAGGGACAGCACAGGAGGGGAAGACCCTCTATGAGGTGGATTGATTCAGTGACTGGGGTAGTAGGGATGGGTGTCTCAGAGACAGTGAGATTGGCACAGAGCAGAGTTTAGGGCTGTTGTGCATAGCGTCGCTCCGAGTCGCAAGCAACTTGATGGCACATAACACTACCACCACATTCTGTCAATCTGATTTGCTTTTTTTTTCTACTACCATATACTGAGGGGTAAGGAGCGGCGCTGCCAACTTGAAGGTGTGTGGTTCAAATCAATCAGCGGCTCCCCAGAAGAAAGATAGGTAATCTCCACTAGTGCAATTTACTACCTCTGAAAAGCCCCTGGATAGTCATCTGCGACACAATGAAACAAAACAACTTAGGTACAACTTGATGGTATAAAACAGCAATCCATTAGTATGTCAGTTTAACAATCTGTTGCTGGGAGAAATTGTCTATGTGCACAAAGGTACAACAATATCTTTTATTAGTAACTTCCTCATCCAAAGTTACAGAAGTAGTTGTCACTGTCAATGGATGCCAATTCACAGTGAAAACAAAATGCTACACACACCTGTGCCATCTCTGTAAATGTCACTAAGTCACAAATATGAGTTCACTGTTTTGACTTTTGTGTCAATCTATGTCACTGAGAAGTTCCCTCCTATCTGCTAACCCTCTATAAAATATGTTCTTTTCCAGTGAATTTTCTTGTTATTGTGCCCAAAGTTAGATGAGCTGATGTAATACTATCTTGCCTGTAAGGTGTATTTGAGTTGTATTTTTTTCTACCACAGACTTATTTTTTCTTTTCACTGTCCAGGACACACTCAGCATTTTTTTATTAACATCCTAATTTAACACGTTGATGCAAATGATGGCAAATGTGTTTCTAAGTACAGTCGTCAATTTAAAAAGTATGCAGCACCATCAGTTCTTTTGTTTTTCTTAACTGTCCAGCTTTTGCATGCATAGGAGGCAAGTAACAAAACATGGTTTTGGCCGAGTACCACCCTAAGTCATCACAGTGATTTGCTTTTGAATGGGACATACAAAACCAACTCTTCCTTATACTCTTTATTCCACAGCCTACAATCTTACACACCAGTAAAACAGAGAAATGGTTAAAATCTAGGTTTTATTTTTTTATTAAAGCTAGGAACAAAATTCCAAGTACATAACCAATAAGTAGCCTAAAATATCATCATTTATAAAAAGCAGCATTACAATATAGTTGACTATCATAGAAAATCTGTTAAACAATTCAAAATTCAAACTTAAGTGATACATTTTTAAGTTAAAAAAATACGATAACCCCAAAAATGAAAAAAAATCCACTATCACTGAGTTAAACATTTCTTAATAAATCCGTTTTAAATTAGCATAAATTTAAAAATAAAACTATTATTAAAATTTTAATCCTAGTAATACAACTCATAGCAACCTTCCATAGGATTTCCTAGTCTAAATCTTTACAGGAAGAAAATAATCTTTTTCTCCCAAGCAGCAGCACATGGTTTTGAATTACCAACATTTCAGTCAGCCACTGGGGCTCTCTAATTTAGATATCAAAACCCAAACCCACTGCCTTCAAGTTGAATTTGGCTTACAGGAACTGTAAATCTTCCTTGGGAGAGACTGACTGTATCTTCACCAGAACAACTAACTGATGGGATTCAAATCACTGAACTTTCAGTGACATAATGCCCCATGCCACCAGTTCTCCTTTAATTTAGAGTCATTAAACAGTACTTAATAAATCACAGTTTTAAATGAATAAAAAATTTTAAAATAAATTAACATTTTAATCCTAATAAAGCAAGTTGCACTGTCAACCTAAAAACACAGTTCAAATCCACCAGCTGCTCCATGGGAGAAAGATGGACAATTTCCTTCCGTGCAATTTACTGCCTCTGAAAGCCTGCTAGAGGGTCAACTATGAATCAGTTTTTGACTCGATGGTACACACCAGTAAAACAGAAAAATGGTTAAAATCTAGATTCCAGGAAAGTTTAGCTCAAGAGTTCAGTTATATACAGTCATGTGCTCTGGTTATGAAACACTTAAAATAACAACCAAATAGCTTTTTTATTTATCCCATTACCATGAAATGATCCTCCATTAAATTTTCAAGGCTGTAATGTAAGTCCTTATAGAACAAGACTGCCTATCTTTCTGCTACACAAGTGACTCGTAGATTCAAGCCACTAACCTTTTGGTCATCAGCGTGACACATTATGGACCATCGGGACTCTTACTTTTCTACTCCACAGTGTTTTTTTTGTTTACCATGATCACACTCTTTTTTACCCATTAACTTTTCTTTTTTTATTATCCTAGATACATTTTCCTATAAATGTCCCTAAATCAAGATAACAAAACTTCTTGTACGAAGATCCTTCAGTAATAATTTAAGACTGTTCTCCTCTACTTATGTTTTATGTACCTGTTTAAAGCAGTAAGTCTTAACAATATACATATTACACCTATTCAATTCCATATGCTAAACTTAATTTCTTTGTACTTACTTGCAGCCTGACAATGAAACCTAAATCCTCGTGGAATTTCCCCTATAACACAAAGTAAAATATTATTGAGAAGCAGCAGAAATCTAGAAACTCTCTGTTTATGCTACAGTAAAGTGCTACAGAATGACCAAGTGGCATCAGTGATAATTCAAATTAGTTTTGTTTTAAGCAAAGGTAATTGCTACCAAAAAAATTGAATAATATTGTCTACGCTACTTTAAAATGATTCCCTACGGTGAAAGAAACACTAGGTAAAGGCAGCTTGTGCAAAATAAGTTGTAAGCACCAAAGACTCTGGATATAGAAAATGATACACCTTTACTAGGGGAATAGGGGTATCATCAAATTCTAACATTTTATTATTCATAGCAAAATCATTAACTATTTGACTAATCCTAAGTAGCACACTCTAATTTATTTTCAACTATTAAAATTGGTCATTCAAACTCATTGCAAGGTATCAAAATGCAAAAGCCTAGTAATCTGATGGCATGAAAAGAAAAGTCAAGAAAAATCCATGGAGTTCTAGTTTTAGTCTGTGATATGTGGGGTCATAGCAGTGACTCAATTTCAACAGATTAGGATCAGTAACACAGGATTCAGATCTGTTGTTCATAGGGTCACTGAGTTGTAGTTGTGACTTGATGGCATCCAACAACAAGCAATGATACGAGCAGTTTGCCATCCCATTTAGTGGTTACACAGAAAGCAGGCCAAGAAAATGGATTCTGTAAAAGATCACAGCTACGAGCTGACAAAATTTAAAAATTACATTCTTTCTTCTGTTTTCCTCTTACCTACTTTTCCACTTTACAGATGAGTTAATATATTAAAAAAATAAATAAATAAGAAACCCTATCTGCCACAGAGCTGATCTGAACCACCATCAGGTTTCCAAAGCTAAGTATCTTTTAGGGAGCAGACTGTCATATTTTTTCCCTGTGGAGTGAGTGGTGAGTCAAACTTATTTATGAACACAATGCATAACCTTTTTTGTCACCTTGGTTCCTTAACAGATAAAGGTCTAATTAACTTGTTCAAGGTTATAGAGCAGTAACAGGAATACTACTGACCACTGAGGTGAAGGACGGGATAGAGGAACAAGAGAACAAAGACAAATCTTTCAAAAAATCCCAACCTAGGGCCCAGGCAAGTTAACTGTAGGTTACACAATTTTTCAAGTATTATACCCACCCAACTTTAATGCATCCTAACATTAAAAGTTCAAACTCAATCCAAAACCCTGCAGTCAACATTCATTTCTAACAGTTTGTCAAAATTTTATGAAGCTGTATATTGCATTTTAAGAAATGAGGTATGTCTCAATTCTTAATAAATGTCATGTGAAGTAAAGTTTTATAGACACACACACACACACGTATTCTTAAGATTTTCTCATCTACCCATTCTACCTAGCTACTTACCAGGATTTATAAAACTGTGGAATTCTGCCAAAATACCTTCTTGGAGAGAGTATTTAATACAGCCAATTTCACAAGGTAGGAAGCGCTGTTCACAATGAGGAGGCAGCTCACCATGGCTAAAAATGTTCAAAAAATAAAAAATGCCTCCAAGGAGAGCTTTGGGAAAAAAAAAATAAAATCATAAAACAACAAGTGAGCACCTCAAATATATCCCCTTCCACAAAAGCCTCTTTACTTCAAGGGAAAACCAGTTCTAAAATAATTTTCAAACCTAGTTTGTATGTTTATAAATGGGTTGGAAAAAAGAAAACTCTTAATAGATAAATACTTAATAATAATTTATGGTATATGATAAATGACTCTGGTCTGAATAGTATTTGCTTTGGGAATTTGAGATTCAATTACTTATCTTACAGGAAATAAAACTCTTAATAGATAAATGAATTAAAGTTTTTTCTATATATACATACCAAAGGTTAACCAAATTTTGCAGCAAGTAACAAAAGTACTCTAATTTGGGGATGTTGCTATTAGGTACCATCAAGTCAAGTACAAATCACAGTGACCTTATCAACAACAGATCTGAACTGTCCTATCCTGTGCGATCCTCATCATCTCTGAAACACTTGAGCCCACTGTTGTAGTCACTGTTATCAATCCATCTCTTTGAGGGTCTTTACCTCTTTCACTGACCTTGCACCTTTCATAGCATGGTGTACCTTTCCAAAGAACAGCCCTCCTAACAACATACTCAAAGTATGTGAGATGAAGCTCTGTCATCCTTCCCTTAAAGAACACTCTGGGTGCACTTTTTCCAAGACAGATCTTTTGGCAGTCCAAAGGATATTCAGTGCTTTTATCCAACATCAAAATTGGAAGGAATCAATTCATTATTTTTTTTTTTAGTGGCAAAAACACTCATTTAATGCTGTACATAGTTTGAGATCAATTAATTTTCTGCCATCTTTATTCACTGTCCAATTCTCAGATGCACAGCAAGTAATTTGGAAAGATCATTACCTGGATCAGGTACACCTTAGTCTTTAAACTAACATCACTGTTCTTTAATACTTTGGAGAAATCCCTTACAGGAGACTTTTCCAATGCAGTAAGTCTCCTATCTCCTAACTGCTTGTACCAAGAATGCTGCCTATGGATCCAATAAGATTAAATCATTGACAATTTCAATCTTTTCTCCATCTATCATGATGTCTATTGACCCACCCAATGGTGAGAACTGTTGTCTTCTTAATGATGAGATATAATCCATATTGAAGGCTACAGTCTTTGATCTTCTGAAGTAAATGTTTCAAGTCCTCCTCATGTTCATCTCTCAAGGGTTTGGATATTTGGGGATAACACTACATATTCCAGTTACACATAAACCATGGGTCTCAAAGTAAAAATATTGACCCATATTTAACAAATAGCTTAACAAATAAACCAAACATAATAGTATGGGGGAAATGACATATTTAAAATTTGACTCATTATTTAATTTTTAATATACTATGGACTGTTAAGAGAATGAACAGGTTTGTCCTGGAGAGGGTAAGCCAGGCTGCTCCTTGGAAGCAAGGATTCTGAAGCTTCGTCTGACATACTTTGGACATGTTGAAAGGAGGGATCAGTCCTTAGAGGGAGATGTCATGCTTGGGAGGGTAGAGGGAGAGCGCAGGAGAGGAAGACCCTTGATGAGATGGATTGATTCAGTGACTGGGGTAATGAGGGTAGGTGTGTCAGGGACAATAGGATTGGCACAGGATTAAGCAGGGTTTTGTCTATCAAAGTAAATATCAGAACAAAATCAACACTGCTAGAAACAGCCGTGAGGGTCCTTCTTAGCTATGTCCTCTTTTAATCTAGCTCTGTAATTTTCTTACCTTTACAGTGTAAGTATATTTCAGGGTCTACTTACAGGTATTTAAGTCTAATGACTACCTATGTTTACTAATCCATGAAGAGGTAGAAAACAAGAGATCAGATTACCACAATTTTTTTTTTATTTCCATTCATTCATTGTTGCACATTTTTCTCCCTGCCCACCACCCCCAGTTAGCTTTTCTCTTTGAAAAATAGTTTTTTCATTGTTGTATAATCTCCCCTCCCCCATCCACTTCACTATGTAGCTCTTACTCTGTACTGTTTTTTTGTAACATTGAGTTCCATCACATTTAATTACTGTGGTCCATTACTTTAGAAAGCAGGAACAGAAAGATTTTACTCATACATATTTAAATATTTTAATACAGCATAGTGTTTTGAGCATTCAAGTTTATCTAAGCAAAATATTTTAAGATTACTCTACCTTGATCATTTTTTAGAGACAAGCTTGACATATCTGGGGGTGAAACATTCTGCTTTGGTACAAGCATGCCTGGCCTCCTCAGTGGTGTGGAAATAGGTTTCTAAGAAAAGAATTATTAACCCTATTAACTCTTGGTATGTATTTTATTTCTCGAAATTCAACAAGACCTACAAATCACCCCATAGTTTACTTACACATAACCTCTCCAGGCAAAAGAACCCAATGAGTAAATAAATATGTATGTATCTGTCACAAACATTAACAGCTAAAGGCAGAAAATAACAAGTTTTTAAGTATTTTAAATTGGTAGGTGAGTCAAAAAATTCCTCAAATTCATTGTCATCAAGTCAGAATCAATTCATAGCTGACCCTCCAGCTGCTTTTCAGAGATTATAAATCTATCCTTCTCCTGAGGAGCTGCTGGTGAATTCTAACGACCAGAGGCCAACTCTGGTTTGGCAGCACACTCCCTCCACACCAAAAACTATGAGCATTGCTATGTAAGCGAGTATTAAATACGTACTTTAACTGTTATTTAAAGTTATTATTCATGACTGATAGCTGGCAAGATTTACTGAGCCACTGCAATGTGCCGGGCCAGTGGCCCAAAGGTACTCTTTGTTATTCAATGAAAGAGAAAACCAGATTATATTGACTTTAGGTCTCACATAAGGTTGATATCCACATATACACACAGCATATTTTAACTTTTGAGGTACAATGTCTTAAAAGAGTAATAAGAAAAATAAAGCCTGTGTTTTACCATTGTTGTTGTCGTTAAGTTGTAGACAACTCATGGCAACTCTATGAACAAAAGTCTTGAACACGAAAAACTTTCATCTTTCGTCTAAGTTCATAGAGTTTCCGGAGGTAAGCTATTTAGGAAGTGGATGCCACTCCTGCTTTCAAGTGTTATAATTACTAGATACAAATTTAACACACACACACACACACACACACACACACACACACACACACGAAAGTCAGACTCTGTTGAACTGCAATCCAAATGATGGCAGTTTGAGAATAAAATTCTACTATGCCAGAATGAAAAAAAGGGGGACAAACCTCTACAACTAATTTGCATTTTCCTGACACAAAGAACATCAATTTTACTTTATTTGTTTTAACATATTACTGCTGTTGTTGTTAGGTACTGTCTGGTATACTATGGCTTTCAGCAAACCCATGAACAACAGGTATGAACCTTGTCCTAGCCTGCCATAATCTGGTATGTTCGAGTCATTTACAACAAAGAAAGAAACCCAAACAAACATTTTCAATTCTTTTAATGGTAAGGCATATAAAAACATTCATTACTATTATTAAGTCTTATTGGCTCATTATTTTAAGACTTAAGCTGACTGGGTTTCACCTATCACTTAAAAGGAACTGACCAAGCTTTTTCAGCACACCTAGAAGATATCTAATAAAGCTTTTCAATTTCAAACTTTCATTTCTGATCACGGCTTATAGGCCGCAAGTTTCCGAAACTGGGACTACCCTGGCCTTCTGACACCAAAGTATCAAATGTGGGGGAGACGCTCTGTTTATTAACACATTGACACCAATAAAACAAACCGAAATCACTCAGTACTCGACACTTGACACCGACTTATCCAGCATTAGCTGCTGAGCATGCTCTTGTTGCAGGCAGGTGGGTGCACTTCTCTAGCTAATTTTACCTGCTTCTCAGAAGGTGCAGAGTCCTTTCCCTGGGCAGCCTTCCACTCTCGAGCCATTTCTGCATATTTCTCTTTTCCTTCCTCACTCAGGAGCTTGGGGAGATTGAGGAAGGCAGACAAAGAGAAAGAGCAGTGAGCAGAGACTAGGCCCTGGCAAACTAGGTCTATATCTGGCCACCAAAGCAGGCCCTTCTGGCGCCAGTTTGAACTGAGACGGAAATAAAAGGGTTTCTTCACCTTTCGGCAGACCCCAGGGGACCCACAAGCTTTCTTGACGCCTCTTCTTGCCTCACAAGGTTATCACCCTCCCACTTGCCCAACTGCCTTGTCCAGCCCGTTCACCGCCCCCTCACTCCAGCCTTACTGCCCAGTCGGAGGAGCAGTAAGGGATGGCATCAGCTACGCGGGCCACAGGCAGGCCTCGCCGTCGTAATTCAGGGATCTTCTCCTGCACGAAGAAATAGTAAGCATTACGGCTGGCCTTGCGGTTCGGCATGGCGAGCTCCACCAAGCTTCGAAGACGACCTCAGCCAACACAAGCTGCCTGTGCCCTCACAGGGCTCCCGCCCTTAGTAACCGAGGCAGGTACAGAGCATGCGCGGGGCCCCGCAGCTCTCAGCCAATCAGGGGATGGCACGCAGGCGCATAGGCCAGACTTGGATAAAAACAGTCTTGAGACCCAATGATTCCACTGCTTACGGTAGTGGGTGGGATGAGGGTGAGGTGGAGTCACAGGTGGGAAGTGTTCTGATTGGCTGGCATGAGTTGGCAGCTAGGATGGTGTTCGGGTAAGGCTTGGGGCAATGTATGTACATTATTGCGTAATAGGCATCAAAGTCTGTTGAGCGAGTAAGGGGTGCTGTAGCCACTCCTCCACTTTGCTACTTTAAGAGCTGACTTTGTGCCAGACACTGAAAGTTATTGGGTGGGGAATAGAGTGAACGAAACTGCAGTCTACCCTCAAAAAGTTTACAGTCTAAGGAAGCTAAAGATTATAAAAATAAGTAAATCAACAAATGTGGTTGTTGGTTTTTAATCAAGATTTATATAATTGTTAGCAAGGAAGCTGTACAGTGAGCGGATAAGGTAGAAAACAATGCCCTGGGATAAAGTATTATAGGTTTCCTCATGAAAGTCTATGTGGCTTCTCTTTTGCTTTATTCCTGTTAGACTGGTGGTGGTTGTGTGCCTTCAAGTCACTACCGACTTATAGTTGACCCTTCAGCGAGTTTTCAGAGGTTTTAAATGAAATCCTATAATAGGGGACTGCCTAGCTTGTGTGTGCTTTATTCCTAGTATCAATATTTTACCGTGCAGTCATATAAATTATACATACTAATATGTTACTGCTAATTGAGTCGGCTACAACTCACAACGACCCTGAGAACAAAGATCTGAACCTTGCCCTCGCCTGTGCCATCACAATCCTTGATAAGATCTCTATCAATCCATCCCATTTAGGGTCTGAATAGCTAGTGATTCCCCCCCCCCACACACACACACACACGCCCCGTTGATCTTATTTAATCATTCACTTCAACTCTGCTTGGTTAAGATAATATAAAATTATTCGCTTGGATTTTCTACTTAGATATATTTCACAGAGGAAAGCCCTTTGTTTAGTTTCCTTACTGTGTGTACGTGCACATGCTGTATACATGAGTTTCAAATTAGGAATGGGAGTTGGGTGTCTTTTGATATAGTTTTGGCATTTAATTGTTAATATAATCAATAATACTGATAGTAGTTTTCAAATGTTGAAGAATCCTACTTTTCCTGGCATAGACTTTTCTAGAGAATGATACATTGTTTATTTTTAAAAAGCCTGTTTATTATGGTATCTTTGGCTCTTTGGTTGTAGGAAGATTGACTTCTAGACATTTGTGTGTGATCTTTAGCATGGTCATTTACTATGTTTGTGTCAGGATTGTGATATTCCTTAAATTAGTGCCATCTTTCTCTCTGATTGAATAATAAATATAAATTACCTATTCTTTGACAATTTGGCAGAATTTACTGGTAAAATTATTTGTTCCAGGCATATTTTAGGGATAATTGTGCAGCTCTTTGACTACCATCTCAGTATTTTGTCTGGTTATTAGTTTTTCTTGGTGTCCTAGTTTTTCTTAACCTAATTATGTAATTTTTCATTTCCAAGAAAATTATTTTTATAATTTAGATTTTCAAATATACTAGTATAAAATGTTGGTGAAGATATTGAAGAACTAGAATTCTCTTACTATTGGTGAGACAATTGCTTGACAGTTTATTATCAAATTGAATAGCCACCATAACCAACTAATAAAGAGTCAATTGGTCAATTTTTTACAATACTGACCCTAATGGACATAGCAGAGCTGTCCCAAAGGGTTTCTAAGGCTATACATTTTTACAGAAAGAAATTGTCACAGACCCCTTCATGGAATTTTAAGGTTATAAATACAGGTTTGGGAGCAGAAGTGGCATCCACTTCCTAAACAACATGCCTCTGGAAACTCTATGAATTTTGAGAAATGATGATAGTTATAGAAAGGCTTCGGGTCTTTTGTTCATAGAGTCGCTATGAGTTGTGCTTGACTTGATGGCAATCAACAACAACAACAAATAGAAGAAGACTACTTTCACTTACAGAGTGATTTGTGGATTCAAACCAATCTTTCAGTTTGCAGCCTGACACACATTATACCATCAAGGTGCCTTATATTTACTGTGTTACCAAGTTGTTAGGTGTTATTCAGTCACCACTGACTAATAGTGAGCCTATTTACAAAGAATAAAACTCTGCCTGTACCATCCCTGCTGTGCTTAAGATATTGTTGCAGTCACTATGTTAATCCATCTCATTGACATTCTTCTCTTCCTTTATTGATTCTCTACTTTTCCAAGAATCATGTTATTCTCAAGGGATTTAGTCTTTCCTGCTAACATGCCTAACATATGAGATGAAGTCTTTCATCCTTGGTTCTAAGCTTCTGGAATTGCTTCTTCCAAGTCAGATTTGTTTGTTCTCTTGACAGTCCACTGTGCATCCAATATACTTCACCAACACTATTCAAAGTCATCATTAATTCTTTAGTCTTCCTTATTCATTGTCTAACTTTCACATCTGTGTGAAAGCAACTGAAAGATCCAGGGCATGGATCAGGTGTACCTTACGCTTTAAAGTAGCATCCTTGTTCTTTAACAATTAAAAGAAGTCCTTGGCAGCAGATTTGCCCAGTGTTGTAAGTCATTTGATTTCTTTGTTATTGATTCCAAGTAAAATGAGATCCTTTATGATTTCAGTCTTTACTCCATGGGTCCGCTATGGGTCGGTTCCAACTCGATACACCACCACAACAACAAACAAATGGTAAAGTTGTGAGAATTTTTGTTTATTTGGGAGTGATACTGAAAACTGTATAGTCTTAAAGCTGCAATACATACTTCAAGCATTCTTAGTGTTCTGCAAGCAAGGTTGCATCATTTGCACAACTCAGGCTGTTCATGAGTCTTCCTCGAATCATGATATCATATTTTTATAATGTCTATGTTCTTGGATTACTTTCTTAGCATGTACATTGATTATAGTGAAAGAGTATAGGCTTGATGTACCCCTTTCATGAGTTTAAGCCATACAGTATCCCCTTGTCCAATTGAAATAACTAATGATTTGTCTTGTGCAAGTTCCACATGAGGATAATTAAGTATTTGTGAATTTCTATTATCTGAAATTATGTTATTCATAGTTTGTTATAATACCCAAAGTCAAGTTTATATAGTCAATAAAACGCATTTGAACATCTGTCTGGTATTCTTGAATTTTAGCTAAGATCCTTCTGATGTCAGCAATGATGATGGATGTTTAGAGTATCTATGCCTTGGTTATTTTTTAATTGGTTATTTTTAATTTGTGATTTATTTATACCATCATTCACTTTTATATAATTATTCATACACATTGTTTCATTCATTTACATTTTATTTTATATAATCATTTCTATACTTTGTGTTTTATCAAGTAAATTTCTCTTGAGCTGTTACTTTCATCTTGAACTGTACCTATTTGTTCACCTCCCATCCTCCAATCTCTTCTATTCTAGTGATTTTCTTTCTTCTGCCACACCCTTTCCTCTCTTTCCCTTTTAAACACTTATCTAAATCTTGTTCCTATTTGTTAATTATTTGTAGCAACTTATTCACAATAGCAAGAAAACAGAAACATGCCAAATGCCCATCAACAAATGAATGAGTAGGAAAATTGTGGTATAGTCTGACAATGTGATACTAGGCAGCACCAAGGAACAAGGAAGTATTCATAAAGCTCATCACAATATGGGAAAGTCTAGACAGCATTATATTGAGTGAAATACTTCAGTCACAAAAGGACAAATACTGCATAAAATTGCTTCTGTAACAATAGGAGGGTAACTGAGGAGTGGGGAGGAGGGAAAGAATAGAAATGTAAGGACAGACAAAGAACACTACAAGGATGAAGACAACGAGGGTTCAACCTGGGAAGAAATGAGATTAATATGGCTATTGCAGTTAGCAAATGTTGTTGTTATGTGCTGTCGAGTTGTCTACAACTCTTTGAGATCCTTGTACAAGAGCTCTGAATCCTGTCCTATCCTAAGCCAATCTCACTATCTCTGACACTCTTGCCTCTATGACTCCAGGCTGTGTGTCAATCCATCTCATCCAAGGTCTTCCTCTACTGCATTGCCCCTCCACCCTACCAAGCATGACCTGGTCCCTGCTGACAACATGTCCAAAGTATGTCAGACAGAGCTTCAAAATCCTTGCCTCCAGAGAGCAACTTTTTATACCCTCTTCGAACAAAATATTGATGACTACAGTGGTAGTGGGTAAAAGAGGGAATTTGGGTGCCCTAGTGGAAAGGAATTGTGCTGCCAACCCAAAAGCACACGATTCAAATCTACCAGCTACTCCATGAGAAAGATGGATACAATTCCCTGCTGTGGCAATTTCAGCCTCTGAAAGAGTGATACATAATAGATGAAAGAGTGATACATAATAGCAGTGGGTTAAGGAAGTCTGTATTTGTTAAAATTTATCAAGCTATACATTTAAAATGCATGTTTTGTTGTGTGTAAAATACTTGAGTAAATTGTATTGAAAGTTATTAAAATATATTAACTTATAATTAAAGACAAAGTGCAAAATTTTCATTCTTTTTCATACCTAATGTTGTTTATACCTTTCATCATTTTTTTCTTCATATACACCAAAGTTTGTCCATTTTATTGATCTATAAAAATTGAGCTTTTCTACGAAGATGGCACCGAAAGCGAAGAAGGAAGCCCCTGCCCCTCCCAAAACTGAAGCCAAAGCAAAGGCATTAAAGGCCAAGAAGGCGTCCTGAAGGGCGTCCACAGCCAAAAAAAAAAAAAAAAAGATCAGCACGTCACCCACCTTCTGGAGGCCTAAGACGCTGAGACTCCGACGGCAGCCCAAATACCCCTGGAAGAGCGCCCCAAGGAGAAACAAGCTTGACCACTATGCCATCATCAAGTTTCCCTTGATCACTGAGTCAGCCATGAAGAAGATAGAAGATAACAACACCTTGTGTTC